GAGCTGTGGTTCTGTCCCGCCCCCCGCCCAGCTGGGCAGCACCTGCCCTTGCCCCAGCCCCACTCCCTCCTTCACTGTGGTGGGTGATGATCTGCCCCCCGACACCCCTTCCTTCCCCCCGCCCCTTCCACCACAACAGACTTACCAGCTAAACGCAGTTCTCCAAGCTGCCAGGCTGTGCTCCTCGCTGCCTGCATGCTATGCTGTGGCTGTGCACATGCATGGGCATTTTTGGCCAAATTATCGGCCACATCAGGCCGATTTCCGATGCACTCAATTTTCTTTATATCGGTGCCAATCCGATAATCGGACCAATGTATCAGTGTACCTCTACCAACTGAATACACTGATCATTTATTCAATCAGACTTCTACTGTGCATTTCTCTCATGGGTCTGGTACTTCTGTCTTTAAAAGAAGAGAGACCTCCCTCTACTTTAAATCAGATTTTAAAAAGTCTAATCACATGTTGAGGCAAACACCAAATATTTCTTCTTAGAAACTGAAGGACTATATGCCTAAACTTTAGACCTACAACCCTGTCAAACAAGTCCCTATGCACATTAACATATTCAAAACCATTTGTGACCCATAGTTACGATCCAGCCATATTCGCAATAGCTTCTTCTCATCTTTATGAAGGGAAAGGGAAAGACTGATCATACTACAGAAACTTGTTATAACTATATTATCAGCTGGTTATGGTTAAAGATTCCTAGTATAGGAAAACTGGCTAAGCCAGCTCCAACAAAGTAAAAGGCAATACTCCCCTTGATTTGAACAGCACCAAGCTTTTATCCAGTCAGTTGAAACCCACCCAAAAAAGTCCAGCCCAAGCTGGTAAAGAGATGGGAAAAAAATGCAAACAATTGTCTGTTCCAAAAAAGCTTCTGATTCATTTCGAGCGTTAAACACAAACCACCCCCTGTGCCTTCCTGTATGCCAAAAAGCTGTTACCAAAATCTACATCTTTCCTCAGCTATTACAATTTATTTTTTTGTAGATCCAAAATTCAGGCAGTGCTGAAAACCAAAAATTTAAAGGCAATATGAACCACCCCCTACCCAAAATAAAACCCCCACACTCTCCAAAAGCCACCTTAGTAATAAATGCAACACAAAAATAAGTAGGAAGAAAGTTAACCAGTTGTCATGGGTATTTTTTCCTATTAAAAATACTCCCATGTTAATTTTCCTTGAAGCTCTTGCAGAATTTTCTTGGTGTCACATTTTACTACTGGAGATCTGCAGAAGCCAGCTGACCTTCCCAGGTCTAGCTTGCACCAGGGAAATACCTTGCTCACTTGTAATAAAATCCTCTATTTTTGAACAGCCTGGGGTGGAATAAGAAAGGGTTTTCTTAAGATGCTGTGTTCCTCCCACCAAACAAGTATTTTTCTTGGTATAGCTCTGGATATACCAATATATTATAATTTAATATAATAAGAATATTCTCCTTATTTTACCAGGTTCTGGAAAATCAGCATGAGAACAAGGCCGACTATTCTACAACCTTAAATATAACACAAAATACATGAGAATTGTTCTATTACATAACATAACCTACATAAGTATTATTTTTAAAAGTATCTTAAACACTGAAACACTCTTACCTAATACAAGCTCCTAGCACCAGTTTCCTTAGAAACGGCATCCTGCAGTCATCCTACACCAAACCTGAAACATTCTCTCGTTAGCTCCTGCGACAACTCATCCTACGCCAAACAATACAGAATCTCTTCTACTAGTTCCCATGTAATAATTCTTCCTATGCTAAACCTGACATAAAATAGCCTATATGCAATAACCAATCCCGAAAGTTATATTCAGAACAACCACTTCTATGGAAGCA